TCACTCTCTGTACAGGGAAAAAAGAGGCTGGAGAAAATAATGCGAAACGTGGGTTTCTTTCTTAAAGCCACACACGAGTCATTCATAAGAGCAATTCGGGGCCGGAAGCGCAGAAGCACCAGCAACAACGAGGGAAATCCATCTTCGACCAAGATTTTTGAAATATGCAACGTGCGCTTGGACGGCTTCTGGGAGGTACTACGCGTATAGTGTGTGTGGGGCAATAGGTGCAAACCTAAAGTATATCGTGCTCGAGAGAAGAAAACTAGCGTAGCTGTTCCCTTTGCAAAAGTGATCCAATTTGATGATCATTCTGAACACCGCTGCTGTAACCCATAATCATCCTCAGTTTTTTGTGCGTTTTACGCTGTGTAAAAGCAGCACAAAACGCATATTGCCACGGGTGTGTGTGTGCACGTGTGTTTGTTTGTGCGTGCGTGTGTGTGTATGCCCGAGTGCATTTTGTCCCGCATTTTCAACTCGGGAACCACAAAAGCTAGGCAACTGAAATTTTAATAGAGTGTTCCTCACCCACGTGCGATCCCGCAAATTTAAATTCAGCCCTCCTGTGCCCGCGAGTAATACATATGTCCCCGTGAAAGTTTTGGCGAGGAAGTTATTATCTCGCGAATCAATTATTATCTCACAAAAACTAGGAAGCAAAAATTTCACGGCAGTGTCCCCTGCCCAAGTACAACTCCGCAACTTTAAATTCAGCTTCTTCCTAGGTCTGAGTACATGTACAACCCCGTAAAAGTTTTGGCGAGAAAAATTATCTTGAGAATCACAAAAGCTGGGGAGGAAAATTATCTTGGGAACTACGAAAGCTCCCTGCGACCTTGCTACAGCGCGAAATAGTGCAAATACGCATGATCGAACCAGCTGGCCTGTTACGTCCCAGCATGAGTTTTTTTAATGACTAGCATAATTTTCATTACAATATTTAGCCGGTTGAGAATGTCATTATGGTCTAGGAGCGGTCCCATTGGGATGCGATGATGAAGCTCGAAATAGAGCAATGACATCTCGAAACAGCTAAAGCCTTGCCAAATGTTTCTGCCTGGAGCTGGTTCAGAAGAGAAAACGGTCGTCAGAATCGCTAGGAACTAACCATCAGGTGACACAGCATTAGTCAAAGGAATTGGAGAATGACACCATGAAGTGCAGCTCATTAAAGTATCAATGAAATCAAGAGTACCAGTGCATTGCTGGGCTCTGCATGAATGAATTTTTATGCGTATTTGCTGTGCAGCGTTACAGCGCTGCTAAATCGAGCAAAAACGCATATTGTGACGACCCCGGTGTATGTATGTGTGTGTGTGTGTGTGTGTGTATGCGTGTGTGTCTGTCCGGTTATTTCAACTCGGCGACTAGGCAGACTCCAGCGTCAAAATTTTGCCAGGGGTTACCCGGTCAGGTGCCACACCCCAGCACCGTGGTATCAACTCTCACGCACGTCTGGGCCCTACGTACGACCACATGAAAGTTTTGACGGGGGAAAATTGCCGAGGGGAAAAGCTTTTAAGGAGAAAATTGCTAACTCGGGACCAGAATAGATGGGGCGCTAAAATTTTCGGGGGATGTTTCAAACTCAAAGATTTCAAATTCAGCCCCCCGTTACGCGTGATGTTCAAGTACGGCCTCGTGATGGTTTTTGGGGGAAAATCGTCAGCTCAAAAACCAGAAAAGCTGGAAAGCTGAAATTTTGAGGGGATATTCCCCATTCACGTAGAAATCAAAGATTTCAAATTCTCAGGGTGAGTGGTTCTCATGTATGGCCCCATGGAAATTTTTGGCGAGAAAATCGCTAACTCGGGAACCAGGGAAGGTGGACAGCTGAAATTTTAACCAAGTACCACATAATATTCTCTTTCCAAGTGCAACTAACTTCCTGAAGCTCGAGGACTAGTGTGTCACAAATTCTACCTGTTGTGATTCCAAGCGATTTTACTACAGCACGAAATACTGCAAAAACGCATGATCGCACGAGCTCGCCTGGTGCGCACTGTCAATGAGTAAGACTGTTTCACAGAGTCAAAAAGATTATGCAAATTAACATATACCTGCATAAGCAAATTTGTGCCCAATGATTGCATTTCAGCAGCAGCGGCACCCGATGCTGGAGCCGCAGCACCGGCTGCAGCACCAGCAGCAACACCGGCCGCAGCACCTGCAGCAGCACCGGCACCGGCAGCGGCACCAGCAGCAGCACCAGCAGCAGCAGCACCGCCGACACCACCACCGGCCCCTCCGGCTGCACAACCACCTCCGGCACCGCCGGCCCCAGCTCCGCCTGCACAACCACCTCCGGCACCAGCACCTGCACCAGCGCCGCCTCCACCTCCAGCCGGTTCGTTCTTTTTAGTTTCATCCACCGGACCATTTTATATGCTACTGTAACAAAAA